AGGAAGACACTTGTTGGGATGAGCACTGTGTGTTGTACATAGGGGATGAATCACTGGATTTTACTCCTGAAATCATTATTGCACTATACGCTAACTTGGATGTAAATTTATAAATGAATGGATGAATGAATGAATGAAGTTTATGGGACTGTCTCTTCAAAAGAGATTGATACCTTTGGAAATCAGTTTACCTGCTTGCCTTTTGTCTTCCATTCTTAGATGGGTTAAAACATGATGATTTTGTAGAATGTCCTTTTTGTAAAGATGGGAGAAAATAAAGAATTTGTACCTTTTGTTCTCTTTATTTGTCACCACAGCTTTACTAACCTATTAAACTTTACCAAAGACCAACATTTTAGATACTTTGACTCTATTTTATATTTGTTGTCTATTTCATTAAGTTCTACTTTATTTTTTGCTTTTCTTCCTTCCATGGTTTGTCTACTTTCTAACTTCTTGGGCCTGGTATTTAGCTAATTCTTCCCTAATGCATGGGATTAACATGATGAATTTCACAATAAAATATAAGGATTATCAATATTTTTCAGGTTAAAATATTTTAGCTTTTATTATGAAGTCTTCTTAGACCCATAAGTTTTTTTTAGAAGTATAATTTTTAATGTACATGCTTATAGGGATTTCCACGTATCCTTTCATTATTGTTTCTTAACATTGTATCAAAGTAAATCACACTTGGCTTCATTGAAAATCTTTAAACCTGAAAATTTTTCTCTACCATATTTTAGTACCATTATCTATAGAGTAAATCACCATTTGTTCAGTTATCTTAATTATGATGTTCAAGTCTTCAATATTATCACAGATTTTGTAGTTTTGATCCAACAAATTGTCACTAAAGTATTATAAATGTTTCTTTATAATTGTAGTCTTTTCTATTCTTGTAGTCATTCCCATTTTTGCTTATTTTGAAGTTATATTTTGGGTACAGAAAATTTAACAACATTAAATCCTCCTGAAAACTGGAATTTTTAAAAAATTTTTTTTCATGTTTATCTGTTTTGAGGGAGAGAGAGACAGAGTGCAAGCAGGAGAAGGGCAGAGAGAGAGGGACCTCTGAGCTGTCAGCACAGAGCCCAATACAAGGCTTGAACTCATGAACCTCAAGATCATGACCTGAGCCAAAGTCAAACGCTTAACTGACTGAGCCACCCAAGCACCCCCTGAAAACTGGGATTTACATCTTTTTCTGCATCACTTTTCATCTCTAGGCATACTTTTTTTCTTAATATATCGTTTATATTGTACTATCTATTATACAACACACATAGAGACACATACATTATAATATTTCTATTAGCTTTCTTCTCTGCTCTCATGTAGACAATTGACAGAGTGATTATTGATATAGTGGGGTAAATACCTACTATATTTATTACTGTTTTCTACTTGTTGCTCTTGTTTTTTTGTTCCTATTTTTGTCTTCCAGTCTTTTTCTGCCTTTTTTGTGATTTTAACTGAGCCTTTTATATGTTTCTCTTTTTCTCTCCCTTCTTAGTATATTGGCTGAGTTTTCTTTTTCATTTTTTAGCAGTTGCTCTAGAGTTTACAATATATATTTACAACTAATCCAAATGTCCTTTCAAATAATATTGTACTGTACCATCTCACAGATAGTGTAAGTCCCTTAAAATAACAAAATAAGCCTAATTCCTCCCTCCCATTCTTTGTGTTGTTGCTGTCACTCATTTCACTTATATATAAGAATACATAAGCATATATCTATACCCATATATATGTTATACATACCAAGATATATACATTAGCATACATAATCAAATACATTGTTGGCACTGTAATTTTGAACAAACTGTCATCTGTTAGGTTAATTAAGAATAAGAAAAATCGAGGCACCTGGGTGGCTCAGTTGGTTAAGTATCCGACTTCGGCTCAGGTCATGATCTCACAGTTCCTGGGTTCGAGCCCCAAGTTGGGCTCTGCACTGACACCTAAGAGCCTGGAGCCTGCTTTGGATTCTGTCTCTCTCTCTCTCTCTCTCTCTCTCTCTGCCCCTCCACTGCTCACATTCTCTCTCTCTCTCAAAAATAAACATTAAAAAAATTTAAGAGTTGGGGCGCCTGGGTGGCTCAGTTGGTTAAGCGTCCGACTTCGGCTCAGGTCATGATCTCACGGTTTGTGAGTTCGACCCCATGTTGGGCTCTGTGCTCATAACTCGGAGCCTGGAGCCTGTTTCGGATTCTGTGATTCCCTCTCTGACCCTCTCCCCTTCATGCTCTGTCTCTGTCTCACAAACAAATAAACATTAAAAATTTTTTTTTTAAATTAAAAAAATTTAAGAGTAAGAACAATCAACACCCATGTGTTTTTCACCTAAAAATTGCCTTAGGCAGATATCAGAACTGAAACTCCTTCACATCTGTGCTCTCCGGAAGGGCTGGTACATCCATAACTCTTTGTTCTTTCACAATGTGTAGCAGGATGTTACAATGAAACTTTTCCTAAGAACTTCCAGTAACTTCAAAAGCTGGTATAGTACGTGCCAAAAAAAAAAAAAAAAAAAAAAAAGCTAAAATAACATGATAAGCTATTTTTTTGGATACAAATGAATACAAAATGAAAAAAAAACCTTCATTTATGTTAAACGAAGCCTCACTTAAACTCCATCAGTTCAGGAAAATTTTAACAACTCTTCCTTTGCCAGTATTATGCTCCAAAATACAATTATAAAAGATTTTTTGCCTTGAAACAATTATAAGCAAGAAAAACTGGAAAAAAACTCTAAATTTATTTTTTTTCTTTCATTGCTAAATACTAATAAAAACATTTTGCTGTAAAAAACGTAATATTGTAAGATTGAGAGTGGGAGGATGTTGGGATGTTTCAGTGTGCCATTGAGGAAATTATGCCATACATGGATGGTATAAAAAGAATGATGTCCTTAGCTCAGCTTGGGTTCCACTCTCAAAATGGCCAACTTTAATTTTAGGACTTAAAAAAAATCTGTTTCTGATATTGTTGCATATACTTTTGGCATTATAACAGACTTCACAGCTTTAAATATTGTAAGATTCTATGGTATAAGATGATCTCATAACAGTACAGCTAGAGATTATACTTTTCTGACTGTTCTTTCAGCTATAATTAGATTATGTTTGTATCTGAAATAGGTGCAGAAGTATATGTCTGTCATTTGAGAGTCTGGGCCAGAGAACTTTGAGTTTATAATCCACTAGTCTCTTTTCCCTCCTATTGTAGGCTCACAGATATGTTAGCCATCAATGTTTGACCTTACAAATGACTACAACACCTTAGTGGTAGAGGAAGGAGTCTATATCCCTGAATGATCCTGTGGAACAATGTTTCCATACAAACTTACAGTGGAAGGCCTGTAACATGTCTTTAAATAGTCCAACAGCCTCCAAAATGATCTCTATCTCCAGTACTCCCACTTCATTGTCTTTTTCCTTCTCTCAGAGGGATGGATGATGGAATTTACATACAACTCTAAAGCATGTCTGATAACACTCAAGATTTTACCTGCCTCTGGATTAAAGATCATGACCCAGATCCTAAGTGACCTTTCAATCTCTGGCTATAATAAACCCTGAATCATTCCTAGCATTGCTCATAACCATTGTATATTTGTTCATTTCCTTTCTTTGTTTTAAAATGCATTTTGGGTTGCTTGGGTGGCTCAGTCAGTTTAAGTGTCCAACTTTTGATTTTGGCTCAGTTCACGGTCTCAGGGTCATTAGATCAAATCCCAAGACTGGTTTCACGCTGAGTGTGGAGCCTGCTTAAGATTCTCTCTTTCTCCCTCTTCCTCTACCTCTCCCCACTGCTCATGTATGCTCTCTCTCTCTCTCAACAACAACAACAAAAGCATTTTGTCCAGTCTTTCTTTGATGAAATCTGAGTCATTCCTCAAGATCCAAAAGTAATGCCACCTCCTAAGGCCATCTAAAATCCTTCTGAATATAATGAATTGTTGCTGTTGTAGACAACCAAACAGTTCATTTGTAACACTACTTAACACCCACCACATCTTACTTTATGTTATATTTGCCCCCAAGATCCACCAAGAGTGAGAACTTTGATTTGCTCTTTAAAAATCCAATAGCAATGGGTCCTACATTTGAATTATACATACCAGTAAAATGTACCTCAAGTGAGGAAAAAAAATATTATCATCCAATTTTAATAATATCAAGGAAGGAAAATTTTAAAAGCACATCCAATTTCACCAACGTCATATAAATATGGGTAAATTTTTGTACAATAATAGGAAGGACAATATATAAGTTTATACTGAAAGATAAATTTCCCATAAAAATATGATTGGTTAAAAAGAATGTTAGCATTACATTACACACGAAAGGAAAAAGGGGGATTTAAAATTTTCAATATGAAATTTTATTTTCTGATATTTACCAGTTTTGATTGCCATATCAGTGCTATATTTTGATAACTTAACACCAATTTAACTTTTGTTAGTTTAACAAGATTTTTGATATTTTATAAAAAGTGAATGCACAACCATCAGGGCGTACTTAGCTTTTACCACTGTTATTGTCAAAGAGCCAATTTCACACAAATACAACGGTGAAGATAGAATTGACACCATTAATGTGTTTTTAAGCCATCCTGAAATTTCTGAAAATGTTTGTAGCATTCATTCGCCATATTTTTAAAATGTGATGTTGGTTATGACTTCTTTGCTTTACTTTTAATGAGAATTCATTGTTGACTTCGTATTTTTCTACTATTTTATTTAGAACCCCAAATTATATAAGCAAAAGGCCCCCACCCCCAATCTACCCACATGGTAGAAAAACAGAGAAAAAACTAACTGCAAGAATTGGAACAAAGTACTTGTGATTATTTGGGGATGATAGTTTTGGGGGATACACACACACACACACACACACACACACACACACACACACGCTCACCATACGCGTATTTTTGTTAGGAAAAGAATACTTTTTTTTAAAGAATACTTATAATACTAACAAGAGTAGTTCTTTTAAAGTGGGGGAGGAAGAAAAGAGCACGTAAAAATTAAAGAACGAAACAACAAACAAAGCTGTCCCCTGACAAGGCTCCGCACGGAGAAAAGCTGCCGCGGGGCCGCCACTGCGCCCACATTCCTCCCGCGGAGGCCGGGGAGCCCACTGCGCAGGCGGCGCCTATAGGCTTCCAAACGCTGGCGCAGGAACCGCACGCACCTGCCGAGCCTCCCCTCACACGCGCGCTCTCCCGCCTCGGCAAAACAAGCGAAGACCCCCGCAGTCAGAACTGGAGGAAAAATGCTTTCGATTTCTGTCCTCCCCATCCCCACCCATGCCTGCATGGCTGTAATATCCGGCGGCTCTCCTGCTTCCAAAGGGAACAGTTTCCTGAGGAACCAGACGCTGGTGGAGCGCGCGAGGGGCGAGCGAGAGCAGCTGAGAACTTGTCCCCTGACCGCAGCGCCAGCGCCACGTAAGTTCGCTCCTAAACCCGGCTTTCCGCGCGCGCTTCGGCTACCAGACTAACAACACAGGCCCAGGCGCAGGCTCCGCGCCGCCCGCGGGAAGGCAGCGGGAGGCCGGCGCGGGGCGCTTTGCTCCCGCCACTCAGCCAGTGCGCGTCCACGCGGGCGCCTGGGGGGCGACGGCGCGCGCGCGCCGCCGTCCCGGGAGGCGCCGCTCCCCCTCGGGCGTCCCGGGGAGCCCGGCGCGGGAAAAGGACCCGTGCGGGCCGCCGTGGCTGCGGAAGGGAGGGCCGTAGCCTTCCTCCGGCTGGCTGGCGGACAGACCCCCGACCCCTCCTCGCAGGGACGCCGGGTGGGGTCGCTCCCTCCGGGCAGCCCCTCCCTCCTCCGCTGTGTCCTGCCTGCCCCCTGCTGGGCGCCGGGGAAAATAGGCAGGCTGGTCCTTATCTCCTCTACAGCTTCTATCCCAGAAGTTTGTCTGTTGCGCATGTTTGTGCTAGTCATATTTAATACATACCTACAGCAGAGATGTATGGAGTAATTCAGTCTCACTTACGCTAATCAATTGTTAAAAATAATTCTAAAGTTTAACACTGTTTATTTTGCACTGTTTATAAATGTGTGTTCCATGCACAAACTGCATCAGAATATCTTATGGTATTTGTTGAAAATGTAGATTTTGGACATTTTTACCATTATTTCAGATGATTCTTATAGACTAACTTTTGGGAACTATTGACCATCTAACTCCTTCTGATAGAACTATCTCGTTCTATTTATTTAATTTGGATTTAAAATCATGTTAGCTTGGACATCTCAGTCCTGCTTTCTGTCGGTGTCCGCTTCACATTCACATTAACTCCTGGATGAGAGAAGTGTCACTGTATCTGTCCAAAATGGTCCTTCACATGAATTTGGAATTCTACCTTTCCTATCTTCTCAGATACTTAGTTTTACTTACATAGGAGTTACAATATACCAGCTATGGATTTAGGTTGCCATAAATGTCATGAATTATTTAATACTCCCAATGGCCTGTGATGTAGTCACCATTAGTAGTCCAATCTTATGAGAATACTAGTAAAAAAGAAATAGGCACAAAGAGAGTAAGTATTTTTTTGGTGTTCCAACAGCTCATAAAGAATGGATCCAATATTTGAACCCAGGCACTCAGGCTCTAAACACAATATATCATGGTGCCTCTCTTCAGTTGTCACTCTTGTTCCTGCTCTAATATTAGTTGTACTTCTCTGTCATCAATGCCTTTAGGCAGCTTTGTTTTATAAGCTAAAAGTCCATGATTATTTGTTGTGCAATTAATAATTTTTTGTTTACTGCAAGAAATAAATGGACAATGTCTAATTTCACAGAATATAGAGGCAAAATAGAATGTTGAGAAGTATACAAAAAAGTATTCCTTATCCTGAAATTATGCTTAGTTGCTCTTTAATATTTCATTTAGTGTCTCAAATGAGGTAAGAGTTGTTGTTACGTGTTGGCATTAGTCTGTCCCAGATGAGACAGGATTGTGTTTAAGTATTACACGTACTCACAATGATGGTACAGGAATGGTATGCATACCTCTCTCCTGAGCATGAGAGTGTCTTCTTCGTGTGCTCCAGGACAGCCTGAATGACTGTCAGAGAAACCCCACCTTGGACAGAGAGCTGGAAACACTATGGAACACTATTGTTCAACACTGTCATAACAAAAATAAAGGGACAGTCAAAGCTTCATGACTAATCTCTGTCTCTTTGTCTCATGAAACACTCTACTCACTGAGAGGGAAATATTCAAACTTTCCCACATGTGGGACTCTGTCAGATCTGGACAGAACCTCAAACATCCACACTACTGGCTCGTTTCTCTGTAAGCCTATAAACAAAAATAAAACATTATAAAGCCTAGAAATGTCCTTTTCTTCCAGTTAAATAAATCCTGGAACTATATCTTTCTCTAGTCACTATAAAGGTATTTCTGTTCTGCTTTAAGAGAGAGCTCCATTCTTTACTGTTCTCTCATGTCACTCCTCCTTCACTTGGACACCATCCTGTGCAGATGTCTATTATGGCACTTTTCTACTTATGCTGCAATAAGTGATTATTGCCTATCTTTTCCAAAATACCATAAGCTCTTGAGATATAATTACAGGAACTGGAATCTGAGCTAAAGCGATGTGTGCATGATCAATTATCCAGGAGATATCCTTGAAGGAAGGTGACCCAGAGTCCTTCCTCTTTTCTTCTTCTGCTGGATAGAAGGCACATGTGATGATGAGTCAGCTTATACCATGAGGTGGCATTGTTAAAAGGCGGCTAAGCAGGGGTGCCTGGGTGACTCAGTCGGTTGAGCACCTGACTCTTGATTTCGGCTCAGGTCATGATCTCCTGGTTGCGAGATTGAGCCCCCTGTTGGGTTCCATGCTGGGCATGGAGCCTGCTTGAGATTCTTTCTCTTCCTCTCTCTTTGCCCCTCCCCACCTCTAAAAAAAAAAAAAAAGAAAGAAAGATGTAAAGATGGTTAAGCAAGAAATACAAGGAACCAGTGCCCCTGATGACTTTGTGAAGTATAATCTTAATCTTTGTACACTTGTGAGAAAGAGTAGTACACTTTGAGCTTTTTAAGCAATGGTTTTCTAGGACTTTTCTATCGCTCACAGGTGAATGAAAGGCTAGCTGATAAGATTCTAAGACACTTTGAAGGTTGGGACTCTATCTTATTCATTTTTATATCCCCAGCATTGAGCACGGCATCAGGTTTATCAAATATATAATGGATAAGATGTTTAGGTAATGAATTAGGTAATAAATTAGACTGGATATGAGATGAACTGAAGTTTCATATGAGACACACACCCTGTAAATAGATGAGTTGGTCTGGAAATAGATCGGTGGCTTGATGATGACACAGGGAAAACAGCATCTGTTTAGATCATGCTATCTGTTCAGAACCCTTACTCTTTCTCCATCAAGAAACTTACATATTTTTTAAATGTATATTTGAGGAAGTTAATTCTGACAGGTAAGTTTTTGGAGTTGGTAGTACAGTGAGATTACTATTTACCTCCTACTTTTGCTACTGACTGACCATAAAGCCTCTACCAATCTTTTAGCTTAAGTATCTGTAGTGTCATTACTTCATCTCATAAGAAAAGATAAAATTCTTTAAATTTCAGGGATTTTGTTTTTTTACCAAGGCTTTTCTTGCAGAGGGATTCATGAACAAGAATATTATTTTTAGAGAACTGAGTCATTGGAGACAAATAGTATGTTTGTGCCATCATTGATTTCACTAGGGATTATGGGTATGCCGGAGGAAGAGGTCTGTGATTTGACAATTCCAGGCTGTATACTTTTCCCTTCAAAATGTATAAAAAGTATGAAGTAAATATGCATGTTCCTTGAATAACCACTAAAGATGACTTTGTTTTTTTTTTTTATTTATATATGAAATTTATTGTCAAATTGGTTTCCATACAACACCCAGTGCTCATCCCAAAAGGTGCCCTCCTCAATACCCATCACCCACCCTCTCCTCCCTCCCACCCCCCATCAACCCTCAGTTTGCTCTCAGTTCTCAACAGTCTCTTATGCTTTGGCTCTCTCCCACTCTAACCTCTTTTTTTTTTTTTTTTTCCTTCCCCTCCCCCATGGGTTCCTGTTAAGTTTCTCAGGATCCACATAAGAGTGAAACCATATGGTATCTGTCTTTCTCTGTATGGCTTATTTCACTTAGCATCACACTCTCCAGTTCCATCCACGTTGCTACAAAAGGCCATATTTCATTTTTTCTCATTGCCACGTAGTATTCCATAGTGTATATAAACCACAATTTCTTTATCCATTCATCAGTTGGTGGACATTTAGGCTCTTTCCATAATTTGGCTATTGTTGAGAGTGCTGCTATGAACATTGGGGTACAAGTGCCCCTATGCATCAGTACTCCTGTGTCCCTTGGATAAATTCCTAGCAGTGCTATTGCTGGGTCATAGGGTAGGTCTATTTTTAATTTTCTGAGGAACCTCCACACTGCTTTCCAGAGCGGCTGCACCAATTTGCATTCCCACCAACAGTGCAAGAGGGTTCCCGTTTCTCCACATCCTCTCCAGCATCTATAGTCTCCTGATTTGTTCATTTTGGCCACTCTGACTGGCGTGAGGTGATATCTGAGTGTGGTTTTGATTTGTATTTCCCTGATAAGGAGCGACGCTGAACATCTTTTCATGTGCCTGTTGGCCATCCGGATGTCTTCTTTAGAGAAGTGTCTATTCATGTTTTCTGCCCATTTCTAAAGATGACTTTGGAATCTTCCATTCCACTGAGAGGCTCTTCTGGGTTGCAGGTTACCATGGCAAGTGAACCCATCATGATGGCACCCATTTGTCTAGTGGAAAACCAGGAAGAGCAGCTGAACCTGAATCCAGAAGCATTACAGATTCTTAATAAGATTTCTCAGCCTGTGGTGGTGGTGGGCATTGTAGGGCTGTATCGGACTGGAAAATCCTACCTGATGAACTGCCTGGCAGGACAGAACCATGGTGAGTGTTGTCTTGGGATGGGCCCATTTGCTCGGAACCAGTGAGACTGCAGGTTGGCCTCTTCTGATATCATCTTAAGGAGAAGGCTGACTCTGCCCAATGAAGAAAATTTGTAATATTTACCATCTAATTAACAACCTTGACCCCATCTGTCCATAAAACCTCTCTTCTCCAATAATGAAGAACCATTTTCCACACCCTATCAAAGACCAACCTCACTAGTTCCCTGGATTCCATCCACTCTTTTGCTCAGAAGTTCGGCCTCTGCTACTACTTTCTTTCCCCTGCATCACTTCTGCCAAAACTATAATGTCATTCCAAGAAGCTTCAAATGTAGTTTAATATTTCCTGCGTTTTAAAGTTGAGGAAAGGGGGGCGCCTGGGTGGCGCAGTCGGTTAAGCGTCCGACTTCAGCCAGGTCACGATCTCGCGGTCCGTGAGTTCAAGCCCCGCGTCAGGCTCTGGGCTGATGGCTCAGAGCCTGGAGCCTGTTTCCGATTCTGTGTCTCCCTCTCTCTCTGCCCCTCCCCCGTTCATGCTCTGTCTCTCTCTGTCCCAAAAATAAATAAACGTTGAAAAAAAAAATTTAAAAATAAATAAATAAATAAATAAAGTTGAGGAAAGGAAGGAAGGGAAAAGGGAAAAATCTTTTTTATTCTGTATCTCCATAGAGCTACCATTTTATTTTTCTGCTCCATGTCATAACAGATTTTCATATGTTATAACCCCTTCTCCCTCTCTCTTTTTTTAGTTTCTACAAATATGTAAACTATAACACATACAAAAGAGTGCCTAAAATACAATGTACAATAAAGTAAATAAAGTGAACACTTGTGTAATCGTGACTTGAGTAAAAAAATAAATCATTGTCAAAGGCACAAGTCATACGCTCTCACATTCTTACTAGCGCTAAACAATATTTTTATTTTCATGATACTTCTTTCTTTACTTTTAAAAAATGGTTTTGTAGTCTATGTTTGCATTTTAAAAATTTTTTTAACGTTTTTATTTATTTTTGAGAGAGAGACAAAGCATGAGTAAGAAAAGGGCAGACAGAGAGGAAGACACAGAATCCGAGGCAGGCTCCAGGCTCTGAACTATCAGCACAGAGCCTGACACAGGGCTTGAGTTCACAAACCACAAGATGATGATCTGAGCCAAAGTCAGACACTTAACTGACTGAGCCACCCAGGCGCTCTAGTCTATGTTTGCATTTCTAAAGCACACTTTATCTTGGCTTGCTTTTAAAGTTGATGTAAATAGAATTAAATTTTATGTATTCTTTGATGGCTTCTTTTGCTCAACAAGAATTTTATAAGATTTATCCATTTTTTAGCATGTAGCTGTATTTCCTTATCTCACTGCATTATAGTATCTTTTACCTTTTATGAACAGAGTTGTCTTAGATTTCTTATAATTTTATCATGATACACATGTACACAGATTTCTTTTAAATAATATATCCTGAAGTGGAATCTCTGTATCAAAGAGTATGTGTTTCTTCAGGATTTCCAGATAATATCAATGGCTTTTTCAACTCTCTATTCAAGCTACATATTTATTAGCAGCAATTAAGAATTCCCACATCCTAAGAAAAATGTTTAACTTTTACTGTTGTGATAACTATTTGATTGTATGGCATGTGCCTCACTATAAATAAGGTTGAGCACCCTTTCACATATTATTTGCCATTTGTATTTCCTATTTTATTAAATGCCTACTCAAGTCTTTTTGAAAATTGTAATTGAGTTGTCTTTTTTAGTTCTTACTGATTTTTAGGAGAATCTTCCTCTGGTCCCATTAGTCATTACTCATTTCTTTCTATGTAGACCAGGCAGCCAGTACATTCCAAATATCTTACCTTCTTTTTTGCTCAGCTTCACTAGGTGTTGAACCTCAGTCCGCTAAACTCTAAGGATCCCCATACATCCATGTTGCTTTCCCCTCTTCTCTTTTAGGCTTCCCCCTGGGTTCCACAGTGAGGTCTACAACCAAGGGTATTTGGATGTGGTGTGTACCCCACCCCTCTAAGCTGAACCACACCCTGGTCCTTCTGGACACTGAGGGTCTAAGTAACTTGGAAAAGGTAAGGAAAAGTCATGAGGGAATCTGCTCTTTTGACTGTAATTCATTTGCTACCTCAATTCAAATTGTGTTACCTATTCCTACAAGCTATAAATCCAATTATGAATATGAGACTAAATTATTTTTCCCATGGAAAAAGTCCCCTTAATTCCTTGGTCAGCTCAAATATTTGGGTATATTAGAACAACATCTTCTTACTGTAACAGTTGGATAAACATACAGTTTAATAAATAGTTAACCAAACAGCTGAATTTCAGGACTCTGTGCTAAGTACAACAGACACTACAGTAAATAAGGCAAATGGCTAGAGCCTAGCTGGGGAGACAACATGTACACCTTGTGACCAGTACAGGGTGCTATGCATAGATGTAGGCAGTAATCCAGTCATATGGCTTGGAGAAAGATTCCTAGAAGAAGTAATGTCTAAACTGTAACCCGTGAGACCAGTGGAAACTACCAGTTCAAGTGTGTGGGAATGATGGAGTTAGAAGTAGGAGCTGTTAAATAGGGTTTTGGTAAAATAATTTATTTAAATCCTCTTCAGACAAAGCTTCAGCTACACCAGAAGCATTGATGAAGGGTTTTAGTTAAAGTCTCTGGTTTTGGAGATTACCTCTTCTCTAACTTCTATAAAAGAATGACCTTGACCCACTGAAATTATTTTACCTGAGATAATGTTAGTATTTTGTTTTTAAATATTAAGTGAAACAAATTGTTTCTCCATTTTATTTTACATTATTCTGAGTCTGTATTCAAGTAGCAATGGTAAATACCTGTTTTCCATAATTGTGGGGAAAAAGTATTCAGAGTTTTTGTGCTCAGCTTTAAAGTTCTCGATAACTTCAGTATAAAACCAAAATGAAATATGCAGCCAAGAATTCTTTATCCAGCAAAGCTGTCATTCAGAATAGAAGGAGAGATAAAGGGTTTCCCAGACAAACAAAAACTAAAGAAGGATTTTGTGACCACTAAACCAACCCTGCAAGAAATTTTAAGGGGGACTCTTTGAGGGGAGAAAAAAAAAAAAAAGAAAAGAAGACCAAAGCAATAAAGACTACAAAGGACCAAAGAACATCACCAGAAACACCAACTCTATAGGTGTAACACAATGACACTAAATTCATATCTTTCAGTAATCACTCTGAATGTCAATGGACTAAATACTCCAATAAAAAGATACATGGTATCAGAATAGATTAAAAAAACAAACAAACAAGATCCATCTATATGCTGCCAATAAGAGACTCATTTTTAGACCTAAAGACACCTGCAGATTGAAAGTGAGGGGATAGAGAGCCATCTATCATACTACTAGGTGTCAAAAGGAAGCTGGAATAGCCATCCTTATATCAAACAAACTAGATTTTAAAACAGAGACTATAACAAGAGATGAAGGGCATTATATCATAATTAAGGAGTGTATCCATCAAGAACGTCTCACAATTGTAAACATTTATGCCCCCAAACATGAGCACCCATTTTATGTAAATCAATTAATTACAAACATAAAGAAACTCATTGATAATAATACAATAATAGTAGGGGAATTTAATACCCCACTTACAACAATGGACAGATACCTAAGCAGAAAATCAACAAGAAAACAGTGGCTTTGAATGACACACTGGATTGGACTGGATGACTGGATATATTCAGAACATTCCATCCTAAAGCAGCAGAATACACATTCTTCTCAAGTGCACATGGAACATTCTCCAAAATAGATCACATACTGGTCACAAATCAGCCCTCAATAGGTACAAAAAGATCAAAATCATACCATGCATATTTTCAGATCACAGTGCTATGAAGCTTGAAGTCAACCACAAGTAAAAATTTGGAAAGCCCTTAAATACATGGAAGGTAAAAAACATCCTACTAGAGAATGAATGAGAACATTACAGTCCAAACCCTTTGGGATGCAGCAAAGGCAGTCCTATAAGGAAAGTATACTGCAATTCAGGCCTATCTCAACAAGCAAGAAAGGTACCAAATATACAATTTTAACTTAAACCTAAAGAAGTTAGAAAAGAAGCAGCAAATAAAGCCTAAATCCAGCAGAAAAAGGGAAATATTAAAGATTAAAACAAATAAATGATACAGAAACAAAAGAATGCAGTATAACAGATCAATGAAACTAAGAGCTGGTTCTTTGAAAGAATAAACAAAATTGATAAACCTCTAGCCAGATTTCTCAACAAGAAAAGAGAGAGGATCCAAATAGATAAAATCACAAATGAAAGAGGAGAGATCACAACCAACACCACAGAAATACAATTATAAGAGAATACTGTGAAAAATTGTATGTCAACAAACTGGGCAATCTGGAAGAAATGGACATACCTAGAAACTCACAAATTACCAAAACTAAAATAGGAAGGAATAGGAAATTTGAACAGACCCGTAACCAGAAAAGAAATTGAATCAGTTATCAAAAAGCTTCCAGGGGCGTCTGGATAGCTCAGTCAGTTGAGCGTCCGACTTCGGCCCAGGTCATGATCTCGTGGTCCGTGGGTTCGAGCCCCGCATCGGGCTCTGTACTGACAGCTCGGAGCCCGGAGCCTGTTTCAGATTCTGTGTCTCCCTCTCTCTCTGACCCTCCCCTGTTCATGCTCTGTCTCTCTCTGTCTCAAAACTAAACATTAAAAAAAAATTTTTTTTTTTAGAAAAAGCTCTGAAAAAACAAGAGTCCTGGGCCAGATGGCTTCCAGGGGGTATTCTATAAGACATTTAAAAAAGAGTTAATACAAAAGAATGTAATGAAGGGAGGGAGTAAGGGAGGGAAAGAGGGAGAAGAGTTAATACCTATTCTTCTCAAACTGTTCCAAAAAGTAGAACTGGAACAGAAACTTCCAGACTCATTCTGTGAAGCAGCATTACCTTAATTCCAAAACCAGACAAAGAGAATTGGAAGAATTACAGGCCAATATCCCTGATGAATATGGATGCAAAAATTCTCAATATGATACTAGCAAATTGAATTTAACAGTACATTAAAAGAATTATTCACCACAGTCAAGTGGGATTTATTCCTGGGCTGAAGGGCTGGTTCAATATTTGTAAATCAATCAATGTGATATACCACATTAATAAAATAAAGGATAAGAACCATATGGACCTATCAAAAAATGTATAAAAAGCATTTGATAAAATAAAGCATCAATTCTTGATAAAACAAAAACTCAACAAAGTAGGTTTAGAGGGAACCTCAACATCATAAAGGCCATATATGAAAGAATGATCATCAATGGGGGAAAATTGAGAGCCTTTTACCTATAGTCAGGAACAAGACAAAGATGTCCACTCTCACCATTACTATTTAACATAGTTCTGTAAGTCTTAACCTCAGCAGTCAGAGAACAAAAATAACGAAGCATGAATAATGAAACACAGACAAATCAAGGAATCAGTCCCATTTACAATTGTACCAAAAGCAATAAAAAACCTAGGAATAAACCTAACTAAGGAGGTAAAAGTTCTGTACTTTCAAAAGTGTAGAAGACTTATGAAAGATATTGAAGAGGACACAAAGAAATGGAAAAACAATTCCATGCTCATGGATTAGAAGAAAAAACATTGTTAAAATGTCTACACAACTCAAAAAAAAAAAAAGTCTACACTTCTCAAAGCAATCTACAGATTTAATGCAATTCCTATCAAAATAACACCAGCTTTCTTTGCAGAGCTAGATCAAACAATCCTAAAATTTGTATGGAACCACCAAGACCCTGAATAGCCAAAGTAATCCTGAAAAATTAAAAAACTGGAGGCATCACATTTCTGGATTTCAAGCTATATTACAAAGCTGTAGTCATCAAGACAGTACTATACTGGCACAAAAACAGACACATAGATCAATGGAACAGAATAGAAAATCCAGAAATGGACCCACAGCTATATAGTCAACTTATCTTTGACAAAGCAGAAAAGAATATCCAATGGAAAAAAAGACAGCCTCTTCAACAAATGGTGTTGGGGAAACTGAATGACAACATGCAGAAGAATGAAATTGGACCACTTTCTTACACCGTATACAAACATAAGTTCAAAATAGATGAAAGATCTAAATGTGAGACAGGAAACCTTCAAAATCCTAGCGGAGAAAACAGGCAGCAACTTCTTTGACCTTGGCTGGAGCAACTTCTTACTAGACACATTACTGAAGGCAAGGGAAACAAAAGCAAACATGAACTCTTGGGACTTCATCAAATACAAAAGCTTCTACACAGCAAAGGAAACAATCAGCAAAACTAAAAGGCAACCTACAGAATGGGAGAAAATATTTGCACATGACATATCTGATAAACAGTATCCAAAATATATGAAGAACTTATCAAAATCAACACCCAAGAAACAAACACCCCAGTTAAGAAATGGGCAGAAGACATGAATAGACACTTTTCCAAAGAAAACATCCAGATGGCTAACAGACACATGAAAAGATACCCAACAACACTCATCATTAGGGAAATACAAATCAAAAACACAGTGAGATGCCACCTCACACCTGACTGAATGACTAAAATTAACAACACAAGAAACAATGCCAGGTATTGGTGAGGATGCAGAGAAAGGGGAACCCTCTTGCACTGTTAGTGGGAATGCAAACTGGTGCAGCCATTCTGGAGAACAGTTTGGAGGTTCCTCAAAAAACTAAAAATAGAACTACCTCACAATCTAGCAATTGCACTATTATGTGTTTACTGAAAGGATAAAGAAATACAGATTCAAAGGGGTACATGCACCCCAGTGTTTATTGCAGCATTATCAACAATAGCCAAACAAGGGGGAAAGCCCACATGTCTACTGAAAGATGAATGGATAAAGAAGATGTGGTGTGTATATACAACAGAATATTACTTGGCCATCAAAAAAAGGGAAATCTTCCCATTTGCAATGATGTGAATGGAGCTAGAATGTATTATGCTAAGGGAAATAAGTCAGTCCAAGAAAGACAAATATATGATTTCACTCATGTGGAATTTAAGAAACAAAACAGATGAAGGGAAGGGTTGGGGGAAAGAAGAAAGGTTAACAAACCAGAAGTCTTTTTTTTAAATGTTTATTTATTTTTGAAAGAGAGAGCAACAGAGTGGGAGCTGTGGAGAGACAGAGACAGAGAGAGACAGAGAGAGGGAGACAGAGAGAGAGAGAGAGAGACAGAATCTGAAGCAGGGTCCAGGACCTAGACAGATCCCAACACTGGGCTCAACCCACAAACTATGAGATCATGACCTGAACCAAAGTCAGGTGCTTAAGCAACTGAGCCTCCCAGGTGCCCCACAATCCACAAGAGACTCTTAATGGTAGAGAACAAATTGAGGGTTGATGGAAAGAGGTGGATGGGAGATGAGCTAAATGGGCGATGTGCATTAAGAAGGGCACTTGTTGGGATGAGCACTGGGTGTTGTATGTAAGTGATGAATCACTGAATTTTACTTCTGAAACCAAAATTCTACTCTATGTTAACTAATTAAAATATATTTTAAAAAGAAAAAAGAAAATGCAAACAAATAAAAAATCCAAAATGATTTTCCTGAGATTTAAATAGATTGTTTTTTGGCTCAAGTCCTGCTTTTAAAAAAAAAAAATCTAAATTTGATTAGTTTTAGGGATAATGAAATAAGGACTTGAAGAAATAATTTTTCCCAAAAATATGAAAAAGTGTTCTAGTCTTCAAGATCAAGTCTGGTAAGCATAGAATGCAGATACTGCATTTGTACAAGGCAACAAAGTATACCATACTGTAAACTGATGGCAGCAGAACCAATGGCTAATGCTAGAATTGTGGAGTGATTTGAGATATCTGACCCTGTTTTCTTGGTCTTCAAAGAACTTCAGGTCTTGCCCTGAATCTTAATTTTAGCTTTGTCTTCCATATCTGCACCCCTACTCATTGTTTCAGTCAAACAGAAGTAACTTTGTAACAGTTTTTCAGGATCTGCACTTTCTAATAATTCTGCCTTGGCAAGCTGCATGATCCCTTCAAATCTACATGTCCACATTCTATCAACTCTTTGAAGTGCACCAGATTTCATCATATATCCATCATATCCCTGGCAGATATGCTCTGAAGTTGTACAATACTTGTTTCCATGCGAGAGATTATAATTTCGGTTACATTTATATGTTGACATGTTTATCTGTCCCTTCATAAAGTCGTCTTGAGTTCAGGGAATCTCATGTGGATCTTTTCATCCATACAGCCAAATGCAGTGTCTGGCATTTGTAGGTGCCTAAAGAGTAGTTGTTGAACAACATTTGTGTTGCAAATACAGACAACATGAAGAAAAATTTGTTAGAGGAATAATTACTCACATTTGTATACCTACTATCTTCTAGGCACTGCATTAAACATTCTAGACATATTGACCATGTCATTCACTTCTTTTAATAGCTTAGGATACTGAGGCTCTGAGAGGGGATTGTATTAATACTCAAAATGAGGTTGAATTTATGATGGTCTTCAAAACTTGTATTCTTTGCCATACTGTTCAGCAATATATAGTGACAAAATAATGAATGAAAAGCTGAATGAATGAAAATGAATTAATGAATAAAGAGCAGCCTTCTAAGTCCCTTGTCCAATGTGCTTTTCAGGAAGACCCTAAGAATGACTCATGGATCTTTGTCCTGACTGTGCTTCTGAGCAGCACCTTGATCTACAACAGCATGGGCACCATCAACAGCCAGGCCCTGGAGCAGCTGCAGTATCCTTCCAGGGACCAAACCACCAAGTTTTATTGAGTTTACAGGAATGGCAACTGAGACTGTCCTCTTTCCTGTGACTTAATTGTCATGGTTGAAGAAGGGGGTGAGGGGACACCGAGAACAAAAATTAGTGTTTATAGAATGTATTTCTATCTGAGATCTGGAAATTGTGGTGTAAAGTACTTTTTCCTTAGCTGAGTTCCCACAGCTATATGACTGAACTAACGCAGCTGGTCAGGGCAAAGTCCTCCTCAGACTACACTGGGGTAGAGGACTCTGCCAAGTTTGTGAGTTTCTTTCCAGACTTTATTTGGGCTTTACGAGATTTCACATTGGAGATGAAGATAAATGGATACTCCGTAACTGAAGATGAGTACCTGGAGGATGCCTTGAAGCTGCTTCCAGGTCTCAGAGTATGGCTTAAATGGTAGAAGGTTTTTTTACTGGGTGGGATCAGCTGAGTCCTATCAATCAGCATTTGACATATATGTTTATTTGAATTTGGATTGAAGCCGGTGCTAATGGTGATTGGGTTTTGTGGGTTATTATTACTTTAAAATCTCCAGCAATTGAAGCTTTAGGGCCCCATTTTGGATCAGATAACTTAATGCTAATTAATGCCATGAAAAAAGATCCCCAGATTGCAATCAGTGCTATAACTTCTTGAGGCCCACATATTTCTGTAGCTTGTTAAGTGTTCTTCCTGTTCTTTCTTTAAAAAAAAAAAATCAGATTGGAAGTTGCTAGACAAAATCACAATGAAATTAATTACCTTATTTTTGAAATATAATAGTAATAGTAATATGGTAATTGGAATAGTAAAATAGTAAGTATATTTTAATAGTAAAATATATTTTACTAGTACCTAGAGAGTTATATTCTTCACAGAAAGGGTATTTTCCACACTAACAGGTCCAGAAAAAAATGTTGACGTACTCAAAAAACTGTGAGTCCTTCATGTCACCTTTCTTATAACATCATCCTTTTCATTTTGTAGCCTTACACAATATGCTATTTTAATATTATGAATTTGTCACATTATACTTAGCAGAGTGGATAATAGAAGGCATCTATAGGGAATATCTATTTTTATTTTTTCATTACTTTATTCTTTATTAAACAGCTGATATGTGCCATAGAGTTGCTCTTAATTGTTCTATGAAGTCTAAATTAATCTGATATAGGGAAATTATGAGGTCTCAAATTACACTGAGATTAATGTATACTTTAGAGATTTCAGTTACAGGACTCTCTAAACATATTTGCGGTATGATCTGATTTTGGCTTATGCTTATAAAAGTTTTCTTTACTGACATGGGTATCATCTGTTTCCTTCCTCACATTTCCCCAGCAAAATGTTACCCATTTGTTCTGGCATCACTTCAAGGCCCATATTGCTTTGCTTTGCTTTGCTTTGCTTTGCTTTTTTCTTTTTTCTTTTTTGTTTTTTTTTGTTTGTTTGTTTGTTTGTTTGTTTGTTTTTTGGTGTTTACTTATTTTTGAGAGTGAGTGAGCAGGGGAGGGGCGGAGGGAGAGGAGGACAGAGAATCTGAACTGGACTCCACACTGACAGAAGAGAGCCTCCTGCGGGGTTTGAGCTCATGAACTGTGAGATCATGACCTGAGATGAAGTCAGATGCTCAACCAACCGAGCCACTCAGGTGTCCCAAGGCCTATTATTTCATTTTTGCCATGGAAATAATAAGATCAGAAAAGTACCTCTGACCTTTTTTTTTCTTTTTTCTTTTTTTTAATTGAAGTATAGTTGACACATACTGTTACAGGTGTAGAACATAGTGATGTGACAACTCTATACATTATGCTATGCTCATGACAAGAGTAGCTACTATCTATCACCATACAATACTATTACAGTGCCATTGACTATATTCCCTCTGCTGCATCTTTCATCCCCATGACTTCTTCATTCCATAACATGTAGCCTGTACCTCCTACTCCCCTTCACCCATTTTGCTCATTCCCCCACCCCCATCCTTTCTGCAACCACCAGTTTGTTCTCTATATTTATGGGCCTCGGACTCTTCTTTTCTTAATCACTAAACATGTATTCAGTATTTAATCCATGGGACTCCATGAAAATGCTAAGGAAACTATCCTAAGGTTCTTCTCTTGGGCTGAATGCCTCTCTTTCCTCTCCTGAAGTACTTCCTTGACTCTTAACTCTGTTCAAGGAATTTTCCTTAACTTTGGTATGTTAGTCCAAGATTGATTTGTAAAACACATGATTAGAATAAAGGAGATTTACAGTCATAAGAGCTGCAGTGATGCAAAGATTCCTGGAAATGAAGTCCTCACCCCCTTACCTGGAGACTGCCTTTCAGTGATCAATTTTTTTCCACCTTTGTAGGCACAAATCCCAAAATCCAAAATTCCAACATGTCCAGAGAGTGTATCAGACAGTTCTTTCCAAAACGGAAGTGCTTCATCTTTGACCGGCCTACAAATGACAAAAATCTCTTAGCCCATATTGAGAACGTGCCAGAAGACCAGCTGGACAGTAGTTTCCGGGAGCAATCAAACAAATTCCGTACCTATGTTTTCACTCATACAAAGACCAAGACCCTACGAGAGGGAATCATTGTCACTGGGAACCGTGAGTCACCTTTGTCCCACAGCATGTCTCTGTATCAGTGTGTGTGGTGGAGCTTTGAGTATACTCTGACTTTGGCAGTAATTTTGTTGACATCTGTTTGTCAGATGTCAACTGACTATGGAGAAGCAGATATTCATGCCATGAAAAGTATTCATACATGTTTCTTAATTAGTCTCCCTATGTGAGGGTTTGCTGAGACTTAATATATCTCAGAACCTTAATTCACTAGTTACACAAAGCCAAGATGGAGTTAAAGAGAGGACATCTGTAGATTGAGAAATCCTATGGGATATCTTCTGGTCTTTAAGGATATAGTAGATATTTTGTAAACTTACATGAGTCATATCATAAATAGGAAGCTATAAATTCCTTTAAGCCTGTTGAGATAGAAGATTATGTATAATCTTATATGCAGGGCATGCATGCTTCATGGTATGTAGACCCATGTGGAGATGGGCTCATACTCTGACTCTGTTTTATTTTGTTTTTTTTAAGTTTATTTATTTATTTTGAGAGAGAGTATTCCAGGCTGTCATTGCAGAATCCGATGTGGGGCTTCAGCTTAAACCATGAGATCATGATCTGAGTAGAAATCAAGAGTCAGTTGCTTAACCAGCTATACCACCCAGACATCTGTCTATCGCTGTTTTGAATTCTTGATCATTTTCAACTAGGAGCCCACATTTTTATTTTGTAGTGGGCCACACAAATTATGTATCTGGTCTTGTTTGTATATACCACTTCACCTATATAACCTATTCCTTTTTATTCTCATTGAATGTGAAACTATTTTTCCAGTGACCCATGAGCATATTTGTTGTAACTGGTAATTTAAATTATAATATGAAGAAATGGAGAACAATAAAAGAAAGAACAGGAAAACAGTAATGTTGTTAGAAAGGAATAGATTCCCAAGGAAGAAAATAAAGTTTTCTTCTAAATAAGGTGGGGTTTTTTTTTGTGATCTCAGGATGATGCTCCATAAAAACTGGAAGCCAGTGATTAAGACCTCACTATTTATCCTCAAATTTCCTGGCCTATTCAGGGCTGGAGACTCTGTTGAAAGCCTATGTGGTTGCCATCAAGACGGGAGAAGTTCCTTGCTTGGAGAATGTGGTGACAGCTCTTGCCCAGCGTGAGAACTCAGTGGCCGTGCAGAAGGCAGCCGACCACTACAGCGAGCAGATGGCCCAACGAGTGAGCTTCCCCACAGACACGCTCCAGGAGCTGCTGGATGTGCATACAGACTGTGAGAGGGAAGCCATTGCAGTCTTCATGGAGCATTCCTTTAAGGATGACAAGCAGGAGTTCCAGAAAAATCTCATGGTAATTGTCTTATAGTGAAAACCTCATGGTAATTTATCACTCCTGATTTCTCCCCTTCTGAAATGATGCTTAGAGCCTATATTTTTTATTAAATAGCTCATCTCTACAATGATAGAAGGAGCCTGGATTGTTGTGAGACAGGGCTTTACAAGGCTACAGTTCACCCTTTTACTGTAATGTAGGCAGTTCATTAATTTTCTATTGCTGCACTAAAAATTGCCATGAATTCACCAGTTTAAAACAACAAATATGAATAAGCTCACCAATCTGTAGGTCAGAAGTCTGGTGTGGAATGGTCCTGTGCTCTGTTCATGGTATCACAGGCTAAGAACAAGGTGTCAACAGGACTGAGTTCTCATCTGCAGGCCTCTGAGGAGCCTCCAGTTCATTAAGGTTGTTGGTGTATCCAATCCCTTGGATTGCAGTTTACAAGTTCAAAGAAAAAAGTTCTGTTTTTATATCTTCACATACTAGAATCCTATTGGAAGAATTCATTAAGGATTCCAAACTCTCTTCAGAGTATTCTTCAGTCAGCACTGGGGGGTTGATTTTCTTTGTACACAAAATCCATTTGTAGCAACCCAAATCCTCTGAGGAAGTGCTACTTCTGGCCACAAATCAACTTTCTATTGTTTATTATTGATGGTTGGGTCACTGTTAATCATACTACAGTAGAAGGAAAATTGGAGTTTATGTCTTCCAACACCATCATTTTATAGTTGATAAGCTTGAATCCAAGGGAGTTAAGGGGCTTTCCCCAAGTAACACAGAATTGATTAGAACTAGGACTAAAAGTCTTTTGACTTCTGGTCCATCCCATGTTCCGGTCTACTCGTGGGTGATCAGAATGCTTTTTCTAAGAGGATGACTTTGTATTTCCCCTTCTAACAGCTTCTTTCTGTTGGATTTCTCCCCCATTTCTCTGGCAGGACATGATAGAAAAAAAGAAGAAAGATTTCTTGCTGCAGAATGAATACACATCTATTAAATATTCCCAGGCAAAGCTTCAGCAACTTACAGAGCCCCTGATGAAAAGCATCTCAACAGGAACTTTCTGTGTTCCTGGAGGACACAGTCTCTACTTAGAAGCAAAGAACAAGGTTGAATGGGACTATAACCTAGTGCCCAGGAAAGGGGTTAAGGTAAGGAATAAAGAGGGAGGGATAGCTGTCAGAACCGTAGAGTCAAAGGGTGTTTGTTGCTTTTTCTGAAAATCTAAGGTCATAGCACCATTTTTATGGAGAAAGCAGAGCAGGGCAATATCTCCACACTTTTAGTTTTTATCCACAATTAGTTATATGTTGTTGAAGGAACTGGAAATATATTTGCAATATTTCGGGAATTCTGGGTTAAAGAGAACAACTTTTCTTTATCAAACAATGTGGCCATTTCTTTGCTAAGTATAGAGGATACAAAGAGTAAACACAACCGTTGTTCTCAAGATGATGATATTACCTGAAGTGAAGACAAAAAATTGGGCAAATATATAATTATCATACTTTGATGAGCAGATAGTAAAATAATGGTAATGATTATTGATGATAATAATCATTATGATATTGGCTGATGGGGCCCCTGTGTGGCTCAGTAGGTGAGTGTCTGATTCTTGATTTCAGCTCAGGTCATGATCTCATGGTCATAAAATTGAGCCCTGAATTGGGCTCCATGCTGGGCGTGGAGCCTGCATAAGATTCTCTCTCTCTCCCTGTCCGTCTGTCCTTCCCCTGCTCATTTGCATTCTCTCTCTCTCTCTCTCTCTCTCTCTCAAAAAAAACTAGTAGACATGTTCAGCACCCCCTTACTATGCCATGCATATAGTAAATAACCTATAATCAGGTATTTGGATTATTTTGGATTGTCAATTTAATGCTCAGAATATTATTATAACTTAGATACTATAGTTATGCAGTTGAGAAATGCAATACACAAAGAAGTAAAAAGTTGCCCAGAGTCATACTACCAGCAAAGGGAGAGCTGGTAGGGCCGCTCAGAGTAATTGGCCATCCTCCAAACTGGAAAGGTAGCTTAGCAAAGCACTCTGAAAGAGCAATAGGAGTTACAGGATGAAGTATCCATAAATGTTATCCTAGTTAAGAAAGGGTAGATGAGCATCCTGGCAGAAAATAGACTGAGCAAATGTTTGAGGAAACAGGAGTCCCTGTTTATATACACACTGAAGTCTGCTGGGCGGCACCTGGGGTGGATAGTGGAAAGCTTCACTGGAAAGAAGGATGGAGGGCTGCAAAGGAGGCTGCAGTGGAAGGTTTCAGGTCTCACAGAAGAACTCAGAATTTATATTGGAGGCATAGAAGGAAAGTTAGTGAGGGATATCTAAGCAAGTGAAAAATTTACAAGGCCAGATTTGTGACTTTGTAGAACAATAATTTCCCCCAAAAGACACAATGTGTGCTGCATGCCACGTCTCTTCTCCTTGTTTCCTCAGGCAAATGAAGTTCTCCAGCACTTCTTACAGTCCCAAGTGGCAATAGAGAAATCCATCCTGCAGGGAGACAAAGCCCTCACCTGTCAAGAGAAGGCGCTCGCAGGTACAGGTGCAGGGCTGAGCTCATAGCAGAGTGGGTGGGTTGCTGCACTACCTCCAGACAGAAATGAGGGCAAAACCTGCACGAAACAAGGAGCTTCCTCTCCTACTGTGGAACAACACTGCTAAATACACATATAACAGTCAGAGTTGTCTTTTTATATCAGGCAGACAAGGAGGGCCATCTCCATCATATTCTGAAATGTGCTCTTGGTGACCCACATAATTTGGGGGCTTCTCAGCTTCCTTTTCAAAGTCAGTTTGGTATCTGTGCTAAGGAGAGTAGAATCAGACCTGACTGTTGCTTTCTTCTCTGAAACATTCGTGGAACAGCTGAGCGGGCTAAGAAGGAGGCAGCTGAGAAGGAGCAGGAGCTGCTAACTCAGAAACACAAGGAGCAGCTGCAAAAAATGGAGGCTCAAGAGAGAGGCTTCAGGGAAAACATAGCCCAACTGAGAGAGAAGTTGGAGAAGGAAAGAGAAAGTCTTCAGAGAGAACAGGAAAAAATGCTGATACACAAGCTGAAGGTAAGCCTTGCACAGAGCTGGGCAGTGCTCCATGGACAGTGCCCTGGTTCCTGAAGAAGGAGAGAGCCAAACTATTAAAAATCATGATCCCAGGGAGAATCATAAAAGACATACGATTCATTAAAACCTCAGATCTTTCTGGACCCTGCTGGGGCTCTTAAATCCACAAATTCCGAAGGCTTATGTAGTTAGAGAATTTGTAGCATGCAATTAACATCCCTAAGGGTGCTGGGCTGCTGTTTGTGGTGATTGTTAGGATGGTTTCATTGGACCCAAATTAAATAAGGCCCTAGTCTGCTCGTCCTTAGGATTCTTGGTTCAGCCATCAAACAGACCTAAAAGAACTCCAGCTTATCTTAAAAGTATCAGAAAGACTTGAAATACAGGATTCTGAAAGCTCTAAAATTTGCTGCATTTGTTTCCAGATCTGTGTGAGTCGTCCGACAGAGCACAGAGGAAAAGTAATTCTTCGACTCAGTCTGATGCTTGACAGCCAGTGTTCTAGAGGGGATCAGCACTTCCCATTTTTGTTAGATGTGTGTGTTCATGCTACCTTGGTGGAACTGAGAAATAGAATTAATCCTACATCCCCCTGAAGGACATCCTCACTGCTGGAACTAAGAGGATAGTTCTTAGGTCTGATCTAGCCTGACCCCACCCCACTCTTGGTGAGATGGTGCTGAGGGAATTGTGGGAAGGTGTAAACCATGGATACTCCCACTCTCCAGGATCGACTCATCAAAGAGCACTCTCGGTGATAGTGCAGTAGACATGGTTCTTCAGTGCTGAAACTGTTAGACTCAAAACCCTTGCTTTTGATAATAGAGATTTTCAGAAGTGAACTCTTTCTTTTTTATAGGTCCAAGAAGAACTTTGTAATGAGGGATTTGAAAAGAAATCTGAGAAGTTGCGTAGAGAGATACAGCTACTAAAAAAAGAGATTGTGGCAAATAAAGATAAATATTTGTTGGGTCAGTGGATTATTGATGTGACTGATGGAGTATTCAGTAAAGAAACGCCGGATCATAGTGAGTTACCTGGTTTGGGGATGAAGATTCTCAGCTCATAATGACATAGGTTCAGAATTCCTTTTAGGGATTCATAAAAATGAGGGTTTTTGTGATGCTGTGACTTATTTTGGAAGCACGTGTCATATTAGTTTCTTTTAACAAAAGTTTAAAGATCAACAGTGATTAATGATTACTAAGGCCTGACATACAAAAGATATACTTCATTTTGATCAAATAAAAGAAATGGTAAACAAGATTGTTAAAAGATAAACGTAGGGGGCCTGGGTGGCTCAGTGGGTTGAGAGTCCGACTTTGGCTCAGGTCATGAACTTGTGGTCCGTGAATTCAAGCCCCGCATTGGGCTCTGTGCTGACAGCTCGGATACTGGAGCCCGCTTTGGATTCTGTGTCTCCCTTTCTCTACTCCTCCCCCACTCATCCTCCCTCTCTCTCTCTCTCTCTCTCTCTCTCTCTCTGTCGGAAATAAATATTAAAAAAATAATAATAATTTTAATAAAAGATAAATGTAAGGAAAAGCTGAATTTGCAATTGCAGCAAAACAGATGAGATACTGCAGAATAAAATCATCAGACCTGACCATTGCTTTCTTCTCTCTCTAAACCATTCGTGGAACAGCTGAGCGGGCTAAGAAGCAGGCAACTGAGAAGGAGCAGGAGCTGCTAACTCAGAAACACAAAGAGCAGCCACAAAAAATGGAGTCTCAAGAGAGAAGCTTCAGGGAAAACATACCCCAAATGAGAGAGAAGTTGGAGAAGGAAATAGAAAGCCTTCTGAGAGAGCAGGAAAAAGTGCTGATGCACAAGCTGAAGGTAAGCCTTGCACAGAGCTGGGCAGTGCTCCATGGACAGTGCCCTGGTTCCTGAGGAAAGGGAGAGCCAATACTAATAGAAATCAAGATCCCAGGGAGAATCATAAAAAGTATATAATTCATTAGAACCTCAAATCCTTCTGGATCCTGCTGAGGTCCTTAAATCCATACAACTCTAACACTTTCTGTAGTGGTAGTCTTTTTTGTTTTAATATTTATTTATTTTTAAGAGAGAGACAGAACTCCAGTAGGGTGGGGAAGGGAGGGGAGGCAGAGAGAGACACACACACACAGAATCTGAAGCAGGCTCCAGTCTCTGAGCTGTCAGCCCAGAGTGCAACGCGGGGCTCGAACTCATGAACCACAAGATCATGACCTGAGCCAAAGGTGGATGCTTAACTGACTGAACCACCCAGGTGCCCCTCTAGTGTTCGTCTTTGAAATGAACAAATAACATCCGCAGATTGGTAGGTTGCTGTTTGTAGTGACTACAGCATGTTCTCTTAATGCTTGGATTGGGTAGGACCTCAATACTATAGTCTTTAGGATATTAGTGTAACCATCAGATACATCTAAAATACATCTACTGGGTTCTGAAAGTATCAGATTATTCCCGATATGAAATATAGAATTCTGAAAGCCCTATAACTTGCTGTATTTGTTTCCAGATCTGTGTGTTACTCTATAAAGCCCAAGGGAATAGTCTTCTGTATTCCAGTATGCAGCTTGATAGCCTGTTTTCTGCACAGTGTTAGCAATTCTCATTTTTTGTAGATGGTTTTGGCCATCATACCTCAAGCAGAACTGAGAATTAGTTAGAACCAAACCTACATTCTCTCCCAAAGGGCATCGTGAGAACTGGAACACATTTCTGTAATAGTTCTCAGTCTTGACTCAGCATCTCCCCACCCTCAGTGAGATGATCCTGAGAAAATTAGGAAGTTACATGCCATAGATACTCTCACCATCAGTTTCAAATACATGGATATATTGAAAAACCCCATCAAGGAATACTATGAAGATAGAGAAGAAGGTATGAAGATGGGTATGCTTAGCTTAGCTGCTAGTGTTAAAAGTGAAACCCAACTTGATAATTGGGGACTTTCAAAAGTGAACTCTCCCTTTTAGAAACCCAAGAAAAACTGCTTTTGAAGGATTTAAAGTTCTGGGATCACAAATGAAATAAGCTCATAATTCCTGTTAGGAAATTATAGAATGAGACTTGTTATGCTGTGACTCATTTTTGAGGTATATGTGTCATGTTAGTTTCATTTAACAAAAGTTTAAAAAGTAATTATCTAAATATATGAAGGTCTTACCCAGAAAAGATAAACTTCATGTTGACAAAATTAATTTGGAGAAATGAGAAGCAAATTAAAAGATACAGTGGAAAAAAAGATCAAATTTCCAGTAACATCAAAAGCAATATAATACTACAGAATAAAATCATGAAGTACGTAAAATTTACATGAACAAAATTTTTTAAATGCTATGTAAGACACAATTTATAAAAATGGACAGAAATTAAAATTTCAATATTAAGTTAATATGGACATTTAATGTGATCCAAAAATATGTCAAACATAATTTTTCAAGAAGTAGATAAATTAATTCTGAAAGTTTTATGGAAAAGCCAAAAACAAAAATATCCAGTGCAATCCTGAAAAAAGACAAATGAAAGGGAACTAGCTTTAGCCACATGTTAAAACATCCCAAGAATTAGCGTTGTGGTACTGACATCTGAATATTGAAACAATGACAAAACAGACTTGGAAGTTTAGAAATTGGTGCATGAAGCTTCTGGGTGGTTCAGTTGGTTGAGCATCTGACTCTTGATTTCAGCTCAGGTCATGATCCCATGGTTGTGGGATCAAGCCCCATCTGGGACTCCATCCACATTGAGCATGGAGCCTGCTTGAGATTCTCTTTCATTCTCTTTCTGTCTCTCCCCCTCTACTCGCACTCTCTCTTTCTCTCAAAAATTTAAAAAAGTAAAGAAAAGAAATGTGTGCAAAGTCATGCAGAAATTCAGCAGATAATTTGGGCATTTTCTTGTGTGAAGGAATATGGGATATTCAGCCAATGGTGTTTGAACAATGGTGTTTGTTCTCTGTCTGGTACTACTTTTTGTTTGTTTATTCATTTGTGGTTTTTCTTAGATTCCACTTATGAGTGAAATCAAATCAAAACTACAGTGAGATAGGGGTGCCTGGGTGGCTCAGTCACTTAAGCATCTGACTTCAGATCATGATCTCACAGCTTGTGAGTTTGAGACCCACATCAGGCTCTATGCTGACAGCTCAGAGCCTGGAGTCTGCTTTGGATTCTGTGTCTCCCTCTCTCTCTGCCCCTTTCCCACTCATGCTCTGTCTTTTTCTCTCAAAAATAAATAAACGTTGAAAAAAAAGTTAAAAAAAAAAACTACAGTGAAATACCACCTCACACCAGAGTGACTAAAATCAAAAGACAAGAAATAACAAGTGTTGGCAAGGTTGTGGAGAAAAAGGAACCCTCATTCACTGTTGATGGGAATGTAAATTGATATAACCACTATGAAAACAGTATGGAGGTTCCTCAAAAAATTAAGAATAGAAATACTGTATGATCCAGTAATTACACTACAGAGTATATGCCCAAAGAAAACAAAAACACTAATTCAAAAAGTGCTCCCCCATGTTTCTTCTAGCATTATTTACAGTAGCCAAGATATGAAAGCAATCTAAGTGTCCATTGATAAACAGATAAGAAGATGTGGTGTGTGTATATATATATATATATGTATATATATATGTATATATATATGTATGTATGTATACACACACACACACACACACACACACACACACACACACACACA